AGAGAGAGAGAGAGAGAGAGAGAGAGAGAGAGAGAGAGAGAGAGAGAAAAATATGTTGAATGCTGGCGGCACCAAGTAGTGACTTCTAGTAGTGTCTTCCAGTCTCAATGGCCCACAGCACTTCTGCAAAGTGCTTTCTAAAAGCTTAAATAGAGCCTGTATCATTCATAGGAGCCCTTTTCACTACATCAAATGTGTAGGTATACTTCCGACACTGGTTAACACAAAAGGTTGATGGGACTCTTTAAATGTGCAGTGTGCCAGACTTGACAGTAGGTGCTAGGCCAAAGGTGAGCAAGATGGGTTCACAGATTGTATGATGTTGTATGATGAAACTTAGCCTCTGGAATTTTCATGCCTCAAAGCTACTGACTGTAACATTCCACCCCTAAAGTGTGCAAACTCTTTATTTTAGTGTGAGTATGAATGTGTGTGTGCCAGAGTACAGTATTAACACAGTTTTCTATAGCTATCAGGGATGAGCAAAGAAAACTCATTTTAGTCCATCTACCACATGCACTGTGCACCATTCACTTGTACTTTGTACTTTTACCTATACCATGACAACTGAAGCCACCTGCTACTTTACTTGGCAGCTACTGTAGAATGCAATTTTAGGCTTCACATTGTCCTTTACTGACAGGAATTATAGTTTAAATAAGCAGCATACATATACAATCTCAGGCACTGGACTTAGGCCTTCTACAGTGGGGTGGTGGGCCTGAGCCTGGCAGACTCACCTCTACACTGGTGGGACAGCACTCTACCGCTCGGCTCAGCATGATTCTAGCATCTTCAGGCTCTTCAAGCTCAACAGCTGCTTTCCACAATCGAACAGAGTTTGGAACATGCTCAAGGGCTGGAAAAGGTCAAATAATGAGAGTGCCAGGAATGTTCTGCCAGTTGGATAAGAAATGTGCCCCTCCCTACCCGCAGCCCCTGATAATCAAGGGCTATAGACATGCCCATTTTGTGGGTCCTTTGATGTTGGGGTAAACATAAAGCCTGACAGAAAGCATTTTGATGTAGGAAAAAGAAAAGAACAGTCAAAATCACTAAAGTTTTATCAGTAGGAACTGTAACATAAATACAAAGTGAGTTTCAGGACACTCAAGACTACACAGAGAAACTTTGTGTAGAAAAGCAAAACAAGACATCAAGCTATATACCTAAAATTCACATATGATTTACTAAAAATATATTTCAAATGGTCAGTGTCAAAAAACCTTCATGATTATATTTTCCCTTAAGAATACATAAAACTAGCCGGGCGGTGGTAGCGCACGCCTTTAATCCCAGCACTCGGGAGGCAGAGGCAGGCGGATTTCTGAGTTCGAGGCCAGCCTGGTCTACAGAGTGAGTTCCAGGACAGCCCGGGCTATACAGAGAAACCCTGTCTCGAAAAACCAAAAAAAAAAAAAAAAAAAAAAAAAAAAAAACATAAAACTTTATGCTGGGTGGTGGTGACTCATGCCTTTAATCTCAGCATTCTGGAGGCAGAGGCAGGCGGATCTCTGTAAGTTAGAGGCCAGCCTGGTCTACAGAGCAAGTTCCAGAACAGCCAAGGCTACACAGAGAAATACTGTCTCAAAAAAAAAAGGGGGGGGGTAAATACCTAAAACTTTAAAAAGAAGTCATAATAAGCAAACTCTGAAAAGACTCCTATAGAACAGTGATGAGATCCTCTGTAGTATACCACAATCTATGTATGTCTGGCTAATACTTGTGTTATCCTTAGGTAACTGGGACAGTGACTCACTGGCCAGTAGCATGGATACTCCACAGAGGCAGAGTCCAGATTCTTGTAAGGTTGGCAGAAGTTTCAGCAAACAGAATACCATGTGACTTAAACTTCTGAATGACTGATTCCTACAGCCTGCAAGTTTCTGGATGTGTGAGCTTACTCCCCATTTACACACATACAGGATCTCATATACCCTTAAGCTTGATATATCATCAAGGATGTCTCTTTGTAGTGAATTCCTGATCTTCCCGCCTCTACCTTTCACAGGCTGGGATAAGTCCCCATACCCTGATTATTTCTACAATTTTCTATTAGTTTTCATGTTGTGGTTGAATGTAGATGACTTAAACTCAAGGGAAACTGTGGGTCAAAGATATTACTGTAAAAAAAAAAAAACTGCAATGTAAGGGAGGGGAGAGAGAGAGAGAGAGAATGAGAATGAGACTATAGTCAAAAGAAGCAAAAGCACGAACTGATGATCCAGACCTTAAAAGGTCTAGATCACTGGATCACTAACCTAGGTAGAGAGGTAACCCTTGTTAACAACACGAGGGAAAAAAAAATCCTAATTCCAGTATGGCACATAGTTAGCATTTGTTCTGTGCTTGCACATGGTAATAGTGGTGTTTCTGTACTACTTCTTCCTCTACCTTTGTACACTTCAAAATTCCATTTCCAGAGCACAAGCTATCCTTGAGGGACTATACTTACCGAGTCACAAACCTGTCCCTGTACAGTGAATAAGGAAAACTAGGATGACAGTGACTGTTGCACTCACGCACTATAGAAAGGTAAAAACGTGCCCTCCAATCAGTGTGGGAACACTCCTACTAGAGACCCTTTTTTACACAAAGTCCAAGGGCAAAGGCAACCAGCCCAGGAAATAGCACTAGCAGCATTACCAGCTTCTTAACTACTCTCACAAAAAGTCTGAACAAAGGAAGAGTGAAATTGCTCTCCAAGAGAATGAAACATCAGAAAGCAAGAAGAATACCTCCAAGGGACAGTCTGAGGGGTACCTCCCAGAGAGGCTTACCTTTCCGAAGAACACGCTTCTTTGCTCGAATGTCTGTTTCTAGTTCTGCTGCTCTAATGTAAATCCTAACAGACTGCGGGAGATGACGGACAGCTTGTGCCACCACAGCCTTGGCTGTGTCCCCAGGCTGTAACCTAGCTGCTTCTAGCCAGACATCTTCACTCTGGGGGAAAACACAGCAATAAGAACATGGGCAGATATGTCTGCCTGGGAAGTTCTGACTATGCCTAAAGTTCAAAGAATTCCACAGACAGTTTCTTTCATTATCAGAAACACCTAGTCTTCACAGAAAAGCACATGACATTCAATTGGTTTTATAGCACTTTTTAATCTCGTCTTAATCATCCCACCTTCCAAAACACAAGTGCTAGAATATTCTAAGAGCTCTCTCTAACCTGTGTTTTGTTTTTTGGTTTTTTTTCCTGATTTACTTTTTTTTTAAAAAAAAGATTTATTTATTTTATATATATGAGTGCTCTATGTATATCTGCAGGCTAGAAGAGGGCATCGGATCCCATTACAGATGGCTGTGAGCCACCATGTGGTTGCTGGGAATTGAACTCAGGACCTCTGAAAGAGCAGTCAGTGCTCTTAACCCCTGAGCCATCTTGCCAGCCCCTTTCTGATTTACTTATTCTTGTTTTATGTACACAGGTGTTTTGCTTGGATGCATATCCAGAAGAGGACATCAGATCCCCCTGGAACTAGATTATAGGCAGTTGTAAGCTGCCATATGGCATCTAGAAATCAAATCTAGGTTCTCTAGAAGAGCAGCCAGTGCTCTCAACTGCTGAGCCGCCTGTCCTGAGTCAACTTCTAGGTTTTCTATATTATATGGCCTGATACGCTGCCAGGCTTATCACTTTTAGTAATGCTAATCCTGCCAGTACAATGGTAGGTCAGTTTCTGCTCCACACAAGAGCAATCAAGAAACTCCTTTCCCTCTGTTTATAACCTTACTCTGGCTTTATTTTTCCAGTATGGGTACCATGCCTGGAAGAACACAGAGGGTTTCCTGGGAGCATAAATCATGCAGATGTCAAGAGAATATGCTATAGCTTCACCTTGGGGCACATCTCTGTCCCTTTCATAATAAGGTTTCGAGCCACTTGTAACTTTCCAGTGACTTCCTCCAGGCGAGCTGACGCAATCCAAGCTGGTGGATGATGAGGGTTTGTTTCTCGAACAGATTTGAGAAGTAGTCGTGCTTTCTTGATGTCACTGTAAAGATTAGAAGCCACAAAACATCAGGCCACACTTTCAGAGGTTTGACAAAAGCGTGGGAGAGGGCACCCCCTTCAGACACAGGCATAAATTGCTAAGGAAAATATGCTGAAGACATAAAATCCAAAAGAGCTCTACTCTGTAGGGGCACTGAGCAAACAAACTGAGGCCTGAATATCCAGACAGGAAACATGAGACAGTTAACAAGCTGCTTTTTTAGCTCACCACAGGCACTGACCTTATTATTTGCAAAATATTTAATATACACAATAAAGAAAACAAATACACTTCTGCATTTCTCAGAACATCCATGTCATATTTTGACTGTATAGTTTTTCTTTTTTAAAAAACTCCACAAAAACATAGTAAGCAATCAGAGTTCCCATTTCAACCCATCAATTCTGCAGCATACTCACTTTATGTCCCCGCCATGGGTTGGGATCATAGAATTTAGATCTGTCAGATAGCCTTTGGGGTCCACAACAGTCTGCCCACTCACTGAGTCAGATACCTGTGAGATAGGTTATTGTGAGAATCAGCTAGCCATGACCAGCAATGTTTAAAACAATGAATTACCAACAACCCTGAAGACCCTCCCAACAAATCTCACCTACAGTAAGTAGTTAGGAAGAAAACAACCTTATTGTAACTCAAACAACAGTTAGTGATTTAAAAAATGTCTTCTATATGAAAAGTGTAGAAATCTTCTACAAGGATTAATAGTGGGAGATTAATCTCAGCATCACTGAAAGTGATAAACCAGGTAGCTTATCAGGCCATGTAATACAGAAAACCTAGAGGCTGAAGCTGGAGAGACAGCCCAGCAGTTCAGAACACTTTAGAATGGCTCCCATAGGCTCATATGCAAATACTTGGTCCCCAGTAGGTTAAACAATTTGGAATGGCTTAGGGGGTGTGGCCTTGTTAGAGGGGATGTGTCACTGAAGGTGGGCTTTGAGGGTTCAAAAGACTTGGCCACTCTAGTGTGTGTCTCTCTTCTAAGAAATGAAATGAGAAGAGAAAATAAAAGAAACCAAGACACTAAGACACAGATATTGATTCTAGTCCAGAATCTCATAAGTAAAAGATTGGTAATTTCAACTTTTTTTTTTTTTTTTAAATTTCAATACAGCACAGCATTTCATTGTCCCGGAACTCATTCTGTAGCCAAGGCTAGCCTTGAACTCAAGAGATCTACCTCTCTCTGCCTCCTCGGGTGCTGAAATTAAAAGCTTATTCTACTATTCTAATTGTGAGTTTTTAAATTGCCATGTCTGATAGCACAGGCCAGTAATCCCAGCTACTGGGAAGGCTAAGGAAGGAATAACCAAAGTTTAAGGCCTACCTGGCTACAGAATGACTTCAAGAGCAGCCTAGACAATTTACTGAGTATTAGTTCCAAAATTAAAAACTAAAAAAAAAAGCTGGGCATGATGATGCATGGCTTTAATCCTAGCACTCTGGAGGCAGAAGCAAGTGGATCTCTGTTAATTCAAGGCCAGCTTGGTCTACAAAGTGAGTTCCAGGACAACCAGGGCTGTTACACAGAGTAACTCTGTCTAAAACAAAAATAAACAAACAAAAAAAACCTAAAAACCACCAGCTTGGACACACATCTTTAATACCAGCACTCAAGAGGCAGAGGCTCTGGTCTATACATCAAGTAATGTCAGCCAAGCAGTGAGACTCTGACTCAAAACAAACAAAAAACTATGCATGGTCATGTGTACATGTAACTGTAGCATTTGGAGGAATCTTGGGAATTCACCAGCCAGCTAGTCTAGCCAAGACAGAGCTCTCAGGCATTAGGTGACAGAGCAGGACACCTAACGGCCTCCCTCAGGCTATGTTTTCCCACTCTAGCTCCACAGGTATAAAATACAGGTAGCCCTCCCCTGAGCACCCCCACTTCCACTGTCTTAGTTTGGGTTTTATTAATGTGAAGAGACATCATGACCACAGAAACTCTTATAAAGGAAAACATTTATTTGCAGCTGGCTTATAGTTTCATAGGTTTAGTCCATTATCTTAATGGCAGGGAGCAAGGCAGCATGCAAGCAGGCATGGTGCTAGAGAATGAGCTGAGAGGTTTACATCCTGATCCAAAGGCAGAAGAAGGAGACTGCATCACACTAGCCAGACTTGAGCTTCAGACATCAAAGCCTAGCCCCACAGTGACACACTTCCTTCAGCAAGGCCACACCTACTCCAACAAGGCCACACTACCTAACAGTGCCATTCCCTATGTGCCATTCCTGTTTAAACCAACACCCCCCCCCCAACAAAACAAAGGTCTGGTAGTTCAGAAGTAGAATATTTGCCCAATTAGCATATGGACAGCCCTGTGTCTCATCTCTAGCACTGAAAAAAATAAAAACAAACAAAAAAGTAACAACAAGCAACAATACAAGTACAAATAAGTATAATAATTTGATTTTTAAAATGTACAGGGTTAGGAACTAGTTTGACAGGAAAATGTTTGCCCAGTATGTATAAGACATGGATTTAATCCTCAGAACCATAGAAAAAGGGCAAGGAAGACAAGGTGGCTTATGCCTATAATATATCAGCACTTACAAGACAAAGGCAAGAGAACTATGAGTTCAAGACTACTCGCATTTCACAGTAAGTCCAAAGTCAGTCTGGGCTAACAGTGAGACCTATCTCAAAAACCTCAAAGAGGGATGCAAGGGCAGGAACAAATGTAGATCAAACAGTAGAGTGCTTGCCTATCACAAAGATCCCTGGGTTTGATCTCTAGCATCATATAAAGCAAGTTATAATCTCAGTACTAGGGAGATGGAGACAGGAAAATCCAAAGTTCAGGGTCATACTGAACTACATATTGAATTCAAATTTACCCTGGACGACATGAAACCCTGTTTCAAAAGAACAAAAACACCAGGGAGGTTAGAGAGAAGGCTCAGTGGTTAAGAACACTTGTTACTCTTGCAGAGGACCAGGGTTTGGTTCCCAAAATCCACATAGTTGCTCATAAGTATCTGCAACTCTAGTTCCAGGGAATCCAATGCCCTCTTGTGAATTGAACAGCACAAAGCACATACATGTTGAACAAACATGTATGCAAACATGCAAGCAAAACCACTCATAAACATAAAATGGAATATAAAAAAATAAAAAGGACAAAAACTAAGCAAACAAGGGCAAACATCTTGAATATCTCTCTAAATAGTAACTGCATAAAAGGATGGTCAACATTACGAATCATTGGGAATACGCAAATAAAATTACAATTTCACACCCATTAGAATGGTTATTTTGGGAATGAGGAAAGATGGTTTAATTGGTAAAGTATTTGCCACCAAAGCATGAGAACCTGAGCAGGTGCCTCTGAGAGCTCGGTATGGCTGTACCTGCTTGTAACTACAGTGCTAGGTGGATGGCAACAGGAAGACCTGAGACTTGCAGGCCAGTCAGTCTAGTGAAACTGGATAGCTTTAGCTTCAGAGAGACATTGTTTCAAAAAAGAAGTGAGGTGAGGCTGGAAAATGGCTCAGCATGTAAGAGAACAAAGGATATAGATTCAGTTGCAAAGGATATAGATTCAGTTCCCAACACTTACATGGCGGCTCACAACTGCAAGCTGTAATTAAGATCTTATGCCTTCTTCTAGCCTTCATGAGCAACACATGTATGTGGTGCATAGATATACATGCAGGCAAGATATACATAAATATGCATTAAACAAAAATATTTTTTTTTTCGAGACAGGGTTTCTTTGTGTAGCCCTGGCTGTCCTGGAACTCACTCTGTAGACCAGGCTGGCCTCGAACTCAGAAATCCGCCTGCCTCTGCCTCCCAAGTGCTGGGATTAAAGGCATGCGCCACCACCGCCTGGCACAAAAATAAATCTTAAAAAAAAAAAAAAAAAAAAAAGCCTGGCTTACTTATGGTAGGAAAGGCGCTCCAACTATCTGCAACAGTCCACAAAATTCAGAGAAAGTGATTAAGACTTGCTTAGGGCTGGGAGGTGTGAGAACGTTCCTCACCCACTGCAAGGGGCAAAAATCATGCTTTTAAAAATGTTTTTTTTTGGGGGGGGTGGCTGGTGAGATGGCTGAGTGGTTAGTTAAGAGAACTGACGCTCTTCCAGAGGTCATAAGTTCAAATCCCATCAACCACATGGTGGCTCACAACCATCTGTAATGGGATCTGATGCTCTCTTCTGGTGTGTCTGGAAACAGCTACAGTGTACTCATATATATAAAATAAATAAAATCTTAAAAATAAAAGTTTTTAAAAGACAAGACCTCATACTATAACCCAGGCTGGATTCAGGCTCAAGGTGATGCTTGTACTAAGTACTTTCAAGTACTAAGCTTCCTATGTAGTGAAATTACAGGTGTACCACCATACTATCTAACACTCTTAAGAAAAGACAGGCTAACAAGCACAATGCACAGAAAAAGGGGAAAGGGAGAAGAATAATTATTTTTCTAATGACTGGGCATGAGAGTGCATGCCTAGAATCCTAGCACTTGGGATCGTGGTAGAAGAATCAGATCATCCTTGGCTACATAGCTAGTGTGAAGCCAGCTAGGCTACACAAGAGTGTCTTCCTTTCCTCCAAAAAGCCAGATACCTGTAATTCCTGCACTTGGCAGTCAGAAGCAAGGAAATTATTACAAGTTCAAAACTAGCCTGGTCTACGTAAGTTTCAGGCCAGCCAATTACATGCCAAGTCCTGTCTCAAAATAAAACAACAAAAATGGCAAGAAGAACATGTGCAAGGGCATTCTGTTTTATATAACCCTGGCTTCTGTATTATTTGTCAATTAAAAAAAAAAAAGAAGAACAAATAAGGTATGGTAAGCTAGCTTCCACACATAAGCACAAACCCACAAACATGTATTATATCTCACACACACACACACAGAGGAGAGAGAGACAGAGAGAGAATATGAAAATATTGAGCTAGAGAGAAGGCTCAGCAGTTAAAAGTACTTTCTGTTTCTCCAGAGGATGAGTTCAGCTCCCACAACCCATGTCAAGAGACTCATAACAGCCTGTTAATTCCAAAACTAGGAGGATCGGATGCTTCTGGTATCCTGTACCCGGCACCTGTACATATATAGAAAACACACAAACACAGACACTCAAGTAAAAATAAACATGGGGACAGGCAGTGGTAGCACATGCCTTTAATCCCAGCACTTGGGAGGGAGAGGCAGGTGGATTTCTGAGTTCGAGGCCAGCCTGGTCTACAGAGTGAGTTCCAGGACAGCCAGGGCTACACAGAGAAACCCTGTCTCAAAAAAACAAACAAACAAACAAAAAATTATTGAGTATTTTGTTTTGTTTTGTTTATGTTGAGGATCAAACCAAGGGCCTTGCACATGTTTAGGTAAGTGATCTAACAACTAAGCAACATCCTCGAAATATATTTTGCTTTCCCCCCATTTCAGAACCATCTATAAGAAAAGATCCATGACAAATTCTCACCTGGCTAAGCCTCATGTCCATCAGGGTATTCCTTGCTTGGCCAATCTTCCTCATGTCCAGCTCCCCTGTACCAGGTGTCATCAATCCTGGTGTCATTCCACCTGGGTATGGAGTGTTCAGGCCTCCTGGGTAGGGTGTGTTCAGACCTCCAAATTGCTAGGAGGAGGATAAAACACTGGCTTGAACTGTCATACTGAAGATCCCCACCTCCTCTAAACACTGCCCACCTAGCCCCCCATGTCCTAATGGGGTATGGCTATGCTGACTCTTGCCGCAGCACAGCTACAAAAGCAATCAACACTCACCCTTCACACCACATCCTTATCCAGACTAAAGAAGCCTCATTTGCCTCTGTTCATATACTCACAGTTTGTCGGGGATCCACAGAAGTATGGTTCTCTCCAGTCTGTAAATGTTTGGCAAAGAAACTATCAGGAACAGGGGTCAGCTTCTCATAACGTGGGTTCCGTTGACGTTTGTTTCTGGCATCGCCAACTTCTGGGATGCTCAGCCATTCTTCTTCTGTGACTTCTGCCAACTTCCTCTGGCAAGACATTTGATCCCAAATGTTAGTCATTGTTAGAATTCACATTGCTCTCCCCAAGCCTCTGACCTATTGTGCCTTAGAAAAGACTGATACAGAAATGGTTTTCCCTAAAAAAAATAACGCATTTCTTTATTATTTATTGTATGTATGTATACGCATATGTGCATATGCACATATAAGGATAAGTGGCAAGAGCTATTACCTGCTGGTTTTCCACTTTATTTAGAGAAATCAATTCATTGGATTGGCATGATTTTACTAAAAGGTAAATTATCAGATCAAAGTCTAATAGGCAGTTTGGAAAGCATATGCCTAAATGGAGAGAAATTTAATAGAGACTGTTTTCCTACCTTTAACAGTAGAAAATGTTTTTGTTTTTTTGCTTTATTTTTTAATATATAATGACAGATGATCAAATATATGAAGTACAAACTTCCCCTAAGCAATTAATCCTCTGAACTAAGTAAAGAGCATCATTAGTAAAGGCTCGATAACAGTATTACACCAGAGCATTCCACCTTCTGCTGCTTAGGTGAAGGCCTGGAAGCCAGTATGGTAGCCCATCTGCTCACCTTAAGGTCTGAAAATTGCTGCTGGATTTTGGGACGTTCCATTCGGTATTTCTCAATCTCTTCTTTCTCCCTTTGCTCTCTAGGAAATAAACCATGTGCTTACATTAGAAATATGACATGTAGGCTTAGGGCACTTGCTGTTCCCATAGAGAACCCAGCTGTTTTTCCTAGGACCCACATGGTAGCTCACAGCTATCCACAGCTCCAGTTCTAAGGAGTCCAATGAATGCCTGTCTTTGACATCTTTGGGCACTAGGAATGCACTTAGTACATGTACATACATGTAGGCAAAAAAGTCATATATATAAATAAATAAATCTCAAAAAATAAAATCCATGAAAAAAAGAAAATGAACTATCTATCGCAAAACAAAGGTTTTTTGGTTATCTATTGCAAAGCAAAGTTGGTTTGTTATATATCTTAATTAAATAACCAAAAACAATTCCACACATTTAACAGTTAACTAGAATGCATTTTAGGTAACTGTAGATATAATCACAAATCTAGTTTTTCAATTATTTACCAAACAAAAACAAGCAGAAACTAAATAAACTGGGGGGCCTTACTTCCAGAGATATTCAAATAGTATGTTTACATCAAAATAAATCTATTATAGTCAGGCATGGTAGCACACACCTGTAATTTGAATACTAGGAGGCAGAGGTAGACAAATCTCTGTAAATTCAAGGCCAGCCTGGTCTTGATACAGCCTGGTCCAGACACATACGTATCTATCTATGTAGGGAGTTCTGGAACAGCCAGGACTATGTAGAGAGACTCTGTCTTTAAAAAGAAAAAGAAATTACAAGTAAAATCTATTTTACTCCCCTAAACTGCACACCCTGTATTCTGTAGTGTCAGTTGTAATGGATCATTTTGTTATGGTCAGAAGAAGTTCATTTCCATTTGCTGAAGAATTCAAGTTGACCATGCATTAACCTGTTTCTGGAATTTGACATACTCCCCACCCTATGACTCACACCTTAAATATACCCAAATAAGATGTTCTGCCTAATAATTTAAAAATGCTTACCCAAGTCCCTACATAACCAAAAGTCCCCTAGAAATCTCCCAACCCTTGAGAATCTCCTAGTCTTGCTGTTTTTTGTACTGTATAAAACCTATATTCCTAGTTCAATGCTATATTCTCAAATCCCACTTAAGGAAGATAGCACTGTATGACAGAAAATAAACCTTGGTTAATCTGATCAAAGAATTTGGGTGATGGGCTTTACTCTCATTAGGTGGAATTAACAGTTGTTTCCTCTTGTTGACTGAATGACTGACCAGAAGTTATGGAACTGCCTGCCTCTGCCTCCCAAATGCTAGGATTTAAGGTGGTATAACCACACCTAACTCAAAGTATGGTTTCTTCTGAGCACATGAAACTTTTCTTTAACCCCATCCCTTGGGAAGCAGAAACAGGAAAATCTCTGAGTTCAAGGCAGACCTAGGCTATATTCCAGGAGGCTTGTACAAGAGTAATATCCTGTTTCAAAAATAAAACCAAACAAAATTTACATAGCAATATAATTATGCTTCACAGTATCACGTGTCCACTTCCTATAAACTTTCCCAAAATTAGGACACAGAATTCAGAAATTGCCATATAAAGCAATGTACTGAGAGAACATGAACACAGCTATTGGTGGTTGGTCTGGTGCTACTATATATTCAAATGCTAAATTTTGGACCCCAAGATCTGATTGCCCCCAGATGAGTGAATTCTCACATCCGCTGGCTTACTCCTCAATTTCAGTGACTGGTTAATAAAAGGCTAGAGCCTATGGTTGGGCAGTAGAGAAAAAAAAGGCAGGACCTAAGAATCATGTGAGGAGTCTCAAGAGAGATCACGGGGAGAAGACAGGAGACAGAGAGAGGAGGAGGCCACTATGAGGCCAGATGAATCCTGAGCACGTAGCCAGCAGAAGTGGACCCTGAGGATAGGTTGACAGAGCAGAAATAACCCAGCGAGACTTAAATGTCAAGTTAACACAGGGTCTATGGATTGAATGTAACTTAGAATAGCTCTGGGCCTGCTCAATGTTGGCTTACAGCTTGTCAAATAAAATACAATGTTTTTGTGTCATGTATAACAGGCAGCTAAACACAACAGATTTGACACATTAGAGTTCAGTGTAAGATGTTACCTTAAAGCCCCCCAGAACAAATACAAGAGCCTTGCATCTCAAATAGAACACCCAAGTCCCAAACAGCCCAACATAGCACCAAGTGACCACTACAGTGACCACCTCAGCTTGCTCAGATGCACTATAGTCTGCTTCACCCACTAGCCTCGTTTGACACACCCCATTTCACAGTGGAGACATGTGGCATGAACTTCCAAACCACCAACTCCAACTGAAACACTCTAGGTTTTCATTTTCACTTGCCACCTTGACTCTATTATTTTTCTCTACTTTCTCCTTTCTTCTTCCTTCTCTCTGTCCTGAGACCATTCTCTTTTTCTCTTCCCCCTCCCCATGGTGATTTATTTTCCTGACCTCCTTCTTTGGGATCAGTGATCTTGCCTGCAGTTTCCCAATAAACATGCATGCATGCATATGTATATGTATGTGTGTATATGTGTGTGTGTGTGTGTGTGTGTGTGTATATATATATTTAAAATCTGGCTTGAACTGGCTCACTTCACCAGTGGATAAATAACTTACCACCAAGCATGCATATGATACACATAGATATATATGATAGACATACATTCAAAACATTCATATACATAAAAATGATATAAGCTTTAGAAAGATTCTTAAAAGTTTAAAATAATTAAAAAAAAATAAAATAAAAGGCCGGGCAGTGGTGGCACACACCTTTAATCCCAGCACTTGGGAGGCAGAGGCAGGCGGATTTCTGAGTTTGAGGCCAGCCTGGTCTACAGGGTGAGTTCCAGGACAGCCAGGGCTATACAAAGAAACCCTGTCTCGAAAAACCAAAAAAAAAAGAAAGAAAGAAAGAAAGAAAGAAAGAAAGAAAGAAAGAAAGAAAGAAAGAAGGAAAGAAAGAAAGAAAGAAAGAAAGAAAGAAAGAAAGAAAGAAAGAAAGAAAAGAGAAAAGAAAAAGGGAAAGGGGAAGAAAAAAAGCCAGGTAGTGGTGACACATGCCTTTAATCCCAATACTTGGGAGGCATGTTTAAGGTCAGCATGGTCTACAGAGCAGGTTATAAGAAGCCAAGACTGCACAAAGAAGCCCTGTCTTGAAAAGCCAGAAAAAGAAAAAGAAAAAAAACAAAAAAAAGCTGAGGATATATAGCTGAGGTGTAAAGAATTTGACTACCATGCATGATGTCTTATGTTCAATTCCCTAGTACCACAAAATAAAACAAGTCAAAGAAAGAAAAAAAAAAAAGAGTATACAGTTAATTCACTGGTAAAGTATCTGCATAACACACACAAGATCTCAAAACCACCCAAAAGCTGGGAATTGAGGCACACACCTTTATTCCAGGCACCTGGGAGGCAGGGGCAGGTGTATCTCTGAGTTCAAGATCAGCATGGTTTACACAGTGAGTTCCAGGACAACCAGAATTACATACTGAGACCCCGTCTGGGGATGAGGACATAGTTCCCAGGTTTCAACCTCTGCATAATTCCTCAAAAAAGGTAACACTGCTGGACATGGTGGTGTACATACTAAAGAGGCAGAGGAAGACAGTTTCAGGCCAGCCAAGCTACACAGTGAGACTCTGTCTCAAAAGCAAGAAGGAAATTAAAAAAAAATAAAAAAAATAAAAAATAAAAGGTATAGGCACAATGTTATTGTGTTCTTCGTAAAGATTATCCTTGTATTATTCAAATGCTGATTTATGTGCCCCCACATGTGGTTGCAATCCTTATTCTGAGAATCTCCTGTCTCAAAGTTGTGTAAATACTGCTCCCCAATTATTACCTGTTTGGTAAATACAGAAATGACTCAGCCAATGTCTCAGCAGGGGAGAGAATGGGGGTGGACTTCCAGCCAGGAGAAGGGGAGGAAGAGAGAGCAAGCAGGGATTCTGCCAGGGGAGTAACAGCTGGAGCAGAGAAAAACCACAAAATGCAAGTATCTCAGGGATTTTAGCTGGGAGGTAGCCAGATTAGTTTACAGGATTAAAAAAGATTAAGACTGCTCAGTGGTTTTGCCTAAAGTTTTAAATAAATAAAATAGTCCAGTCTAAATTATTTGAGAGCTACCTAAGTTAGGAGAAAATTGCAATATTTATAAAGTTGCACTAACTAAAAAGTAATCCTGATCACAGTCAAAGTAATACCCCAAACTCTGCAGCTCTTGTGGCAGCTTCTAAGCTTTGAGGCTGCTTTGCAAACACCCAGCGCTTATACAGGTACAGCTGTTACAAACTAAGGTCCAAGTAGCCTCTAAAGTCAACATACAGACTATTATTGGAACTTTCCTCCCAGTCCAAAATAAAACAGAACAACAAAAAATTATTTTGTCTGAAAGTTGGATAAATACAGTATGAAATAGCATACCTTCTCTCTTTTCTTCTTTCATCCATCCTTTTATCCAGAGCTGCATAAATAGCATCTGCTTCCTCATCGTCTTTTTCATAGGGCCCACTTGAGAAGAGGCTCCCAGCGTAGCCATTAAACTAAGAACCAAACAACACATTTAAAGGATCAGCTTTCCAACCAATACAGGAAGCACATAAAACACTCATATACGTAAAATAACTAAATCTTTAAAAAAAAAAAAAAAAGACACAAGGGCTATTCCAGTTGAAGGAAACTAGACATACTAGTTCATTTCTGTTGCTATGATAAAATATCCTGCTAAAAAAAAAAAGAAAGAAAAAACAACTTAGGGAAGAAAGGGCTTATATGACTTATTTGACTTATAAATCCAGGAAAATCATGGAGAGACAGGCTTGAGAGAGTTGATCACAGCACATCCATATTCAAAGGCAGAAAATAAACATAACCTTGCTTGCTTCTGCTCAGCTAGCTTTCTTCACCCTTATACAATTCAGGGCCCATGAAATATTGCTTCCTACAATCATGGTGGGTTTTCCTACCTCAATCAATAATCAAGACAAACTCCAATAGGCAGGCCCACAGGACAGGCTGATCCTGATAATTTCTTTATTGAGACTTTCTTCTCAGGTGACTCTAGATTATGTCAAACTGATAGTTAAAGTAAATCTGTAGCTTAGTTAATAACACAGTATCAATATTAATTCTAGGTTTCCATAATTTATTAAAATTTGTAAAATGAGGCAAAGCTTGAAAGAGCATATAAGAACTTTCTTTTCTGAGACAGGTTTCTTTTTTTTGTTTTTTTTTGGATTTTTTTTGAGACAGGGTTTCTCTGTACAGTCCTGGCTGTCCTGGAACTCACTCTGTAGACCAGGCTGGCCTTGAACTCAGAAATCCGCCTGCCTCTGCCTCCCAAGTGCTGGGATTAAAGGTGTGCGCCACCACCGCCCGGCTTAAGTTTTATCTTTTTTTTTTCTTTCTTTCTTTCTTTTTTTTTTTTTTTTTTTTTCCTGAGATAGGTTTCACTATGTAGCTCTGGCTGGCCTGGAACTTACTTGCTATGTAGAATATGCTGGCCTTGAACTCACAGAGGTCTACCTGCTTCTGCTTCCTGAGTGCTGGGATTAAAGGCACAGGCCACCATGCCCAATAATTTATTTACTTTTAGTATTTTATATATTCTGAGACATGGCCTCACTATGCATGCCTGACTGGCCTAGAACACTCTGTGTAGACCAAGCTAGCCTCAAATTCACAGATCCACCTGCCTCTGGCTCCTGACTACTGAAACTAAAGGCATGAACCATCAAAACTGCCTTATTTTTATTGAGGTGTGTGTATGCGCGTGCACCTGCATATTTGTAGGAATACATGTACCTGCAAATGTGAAGATGACCAGAAACACTGGATTCCCCTGGAAATGGAGTTAGAAGGAATGTGAGCAGTTTTATGTTGGTGCTGGGAACTGAACCAAAGTCCTCTGGAAGAACAGCTAGTTTTTTCTTTTTCTTTTTTTTTTTTTGGTTTTTCGAGACAGGGTTTCTCTGTGTAGCCCGGGCTGTTCTGGAACTCACTCTGTAGACCAGGCTAGCCTCGAACTCAGAAATCCACCTCCCTCTGCCTCCCAAGTGCTGGGATTAAAGGCGTGCGCCACCACTGCCTGGCTCAGCTAGTACTCTTAACCAATGAACCATTTCTCTGGCCTTTACTAATTTTTTAAGGATATTATTTTCCCAAGTTCCTGAAAATTAAAAGTCTCTTGAAAGATGTCAGTTCCACATACCAAGCAACAAAGAATTTCAACAATAAAGTTAAAGCAGAATTAGCACCATCCCTAAAGAACATCTAGCAAAAACACCAACGAGTGGTATCCTGAACCCACAAGTGCATCTCCTTACAAATGAGACAAAAGCAGTGCACAGTTCTTTACTGCTCTTTCACAGACTGCTAAAGATGGAAAATGAATCTGAGCCACCTTCTTGTGGGAGCTGGTCAGAGCTTCCTGTGGCTGGTGAGAGCCACCACAGAAGCCTGACAAAAATCACTTCATCAAGAACTTTATCTCTTAATTCAGAACACAACTGTGCCAGTACTGCATTCTGTAAGTATTCTTTTTATTTCTTATATTGTTATTTAATTTGCATGCCTACACACATCTCATAATGGTTTTGTTTTTGTTTATACACTGTCCAGTTAGATTTCCCATGAGACCACAGGAAAATAATAAACATTGTTAGAATTACAGTTAAGAGAAGAAGAGAAAACAGTACAAAATCAACAAAATGACAAGAATCAATACATACCATTCTATAAGAACTAAATATTAATGGCCTCAATTTCCTAATCAGCACTCACATCAGGCAGCTTACAACTGCCTCTTACTCCAAGGGGCTTCAATAAGTTTCTGACCTCTACAGGTACTTGCATGTATGCCCACACACAATTTCAACAAAATCATGGCTGGAGAGATGGCTCAGAGGTTAAGAGAATATAGTAGTATACTTGTAGAGGACCTGAGTTGATTCTGTGCATCCAAATCAGGCAGTTCACAACTGCCTATACCTCCAGTTCCAAGGAATCTAACGCACACCCACACACTGACACACATACACAGAATTTAAGATAATAAATAAAATATATATTTCTTAAATAGATTCATAGACAGAAGCTCCATAGTTATCTTGATAGACGTAGAAAAGGCTTTTTGAGAAAATCTAACATCCCTCTTTGTGTTAAAAGCTGATAAAAGTCAGACTAGAAGAACTGTATCTCAAAACAACAAAAGCTATATACAACAGACCTGTAATCATCATATTAAACCAGGGAAAACTCAAAGCATTTCCAATGAAATCGGGAACAAAATTCTCATATTCTATATGTTACAGGAAGTCTTGACTCCAGCAATAAGTAAATAAATAAAGGGAATACAAATAGGAAAGGAAGAAGTCAGACTATCTCCATTCGCAGATGATGTGCATGAGATGATGTACATAAGAACCCTAAGGAATCCATCAGAAAACTCTCAGAACTAGACAGGACAAAAATTAACATACAAAAATCAGTTGCCTTCCTACATAACAATGAAGAATAGAAAGACAATCCATTCACAAGAAGCTACACATTCGTACATACACTCACGCACAAATAATCTAACCAAGGATGAGAAAGCTCTCTATAACTATATAAAACTTTAAAACAAAAAAGAAAGAAACTGAGGAAAGAAGATGAAAAGATTTCCAAAGAGTCTTGTAAAAAAAAATGGCTATCTTATCAAAAAGCAATCTAAGCATTCAATGCAACCCTCATCAAAATTCCAGTAATACAGCTGAAGAGATGGCTCAGCAGTTAGTAGCACTTACTGCTCTTCCAAAGGATCCAAGTTTAATTCTAAGCACCTACATCAGTTGTTCACACCCACCTGTAATTCCAGATCTAGGGGATCTGACACCCTCTTCTGGCTTTGGTGGGCATTCACATGTGTGCACATGCACACAAATAAAAATAAATAATTTTTCAAAATTTCATTAACATTTTTCACAGAAATATAAAAAATAATCTTAAAACTCCTATAGAGGAGCTGAACTGGACTCAACAGTTAAAGAGCACTGGGTGCTCTTGCAGAGGAGGACCTGAGTTCTGTTCTTAGTACCCATGTTCAGCAGTTCACAACTGCCTGTAACTCCAGCCACAGAGGATCAGACACCCTCTTCTGGCCTCTTGGGCACATATACACAAACTGTAAACAAATATGCATAGACAGACACACACACATACACACACACACAGATAAAAACAACTCTTTTTTTTTTTTTCTTTTTAGTTTTTTGAGACAGGGTTTCTCTGTGTAATCCTGGCTATCCTGGAACTCACCCTGTAGACCAGGCTGGTCTTGAACTCAGAGATCCAACTAACTACTTCTGCCTCTCAAGTGCTGGGATTAAAGCTTACACCACTACCACCCTGTTGGGGATCTGATTTAATGGATGCCCAAATTACATGAGAATTCGCACATCTCCAAGTCTCTGCTCCCAATTGGTTTTGATTGGGAAATAAAAGTTGCCAGCCGCCAATGGCTGGACAGGGAGACAGAGGAGGGACTTTTAGGATTCCCAGAAAAGGAATGCAAGAGAGGGAAGAAGGGGAGCCCACCATGAGAGAGGTGTAAGATGGACCAGACCATGCCGTGAAGGGGCATGATGGTAAGACGACCAAACTGTAGGTGCAAGAGGAAAGTGGCCCCATGGGAGGGCTGCCCAGAAGGAACTAGGACAGTAGAGATAAAATATAGCTTTAGAAAGAATTAACTCAGGAATATCTGAAGGGAGTGTGTTAGCCTCTGGAAGGTTTGGAAGTGCCCAGTCATTAAGCTAGTTAAGGCATATTAAAAATAAGCAGGCATGTGCATGTCTTTCATTTGTGAATACCAAACACCTGCCTGGGAGTTTAGAGCAGATTAATTATTTACCACCTCAGCACCAAGAAAAAATAAGATTATCCGTACCTCATATAAATATACATATATATATACCCACACACACATACATACATATGTACACACACACATATACATACATACACATACACATACACACACACACACACACACACACAAAGAGCGAGTCCAGATAATCAATAATCCTGAATGAAAAGAATAATGCTGGAAGTATCACCATACCGGATTCCAAATACTACTACAAAGCTATAGTAATAAAAACAGCATTGTACTGGCACATAGACACCTAAATCAATAGGATAGAAGACCCAGATACAAGGGGACACAACTATAGATACCTGATTTTTTACAAAGATGTCAAAAACACATACTGTGCCAAGGACATCTTGAGCAAATATTATTAGTAAAACTATATTCCTCCATATAGAAGAAGAAAACTAAATCCTTCTTCTTCAGCCTGCACAGAAGCCAACTCTAAATGAGTCAAGAACCTTAAAATATGATCTGAAATTCTCATGTTGCTAAGGAAAAAAGTATACTTTAGAGTATAGGCATAAGTAAGGATTTTCTGAATAGGATTCCACTTGCTCAAAAATTAAGGCCAATAATTAACAAATGGGATTTCATGAAATTAAAAATTCTAGCACTTAGGAGGCAGAGTTTGTGGCGAGCATGGTCTACAGAGCGAGTTCCAAGACAGCCAAGATTACAGAGAAACCTCGTCTTGAAAAACCAAAACCTGCCGGGCGGTGGTGGCGAATGCCTTTAATCCCAGCACTTGGGAGGCAGAGACAGGCAGATTTCTGAGTTCGAGGTCAGCCTGATCTACAGAGTGAGTTCCAGGACAGCCAGGGCTGCACAGAGAAACCCTGTCTCGAAAAACCAAAAAGAAAAAAGAAAAGCCAAAACCCAAAACAAACAAACAAACAAAACCCTCTGGAGAGGGAGAAAATATAGAGAACTTGAGAAACTAAACATCAAGAAAACAAACAACCCGTGGGGCTGGAGAGATGGTTAAGAGCACGGACTGCTCTTCCAGAGGTCCGGAGTTCAATTTCCAGCATAACCATCTATAGTGAGATCTGGTGCCCTCTTCTGGCTTACAGGCATACATACAAACAGAACACTGTATGAATAATAAATAAATCTAAAAAACAAAACAAAAAACAACAACAACAACAACAAAAAGTAAAAGAAGAAAAGTACAACCCAATTCTCAAAAGAATACATATATATACATGGCTAATAAATTCAAAGCTGGGTGTAGGGATGCACACCTGCAATCCTATCACCTCAGGAGGCTGAGGCAGGAATGGTGCTGTTGAGTTCAGAACCAGCCTCCTGCGTTTCAGGTTACCCTGTGTGAGTGTGGCCATTGTGAGGCTGAGATCCTACCTACTATTAAAAAAAAATTAGTATTCAAAATCATTAACCACCAGAGAATGCAAATTAAAAATACTTTAAAAATTCATCTTACCCAGTCAGAATAGCTACTGTCATGGTTAGATTGTCAATTTGACACAAACTTCAGACTTGTCACCAGAGAGTGGTCTATGAGGCATCTTTTTCTGTTTCTTTCTTTTTTGAGACAGTCCCACTTATATAGCCTTGGTTTGTAGATCAAATGACCTTGAACTCAAAGATCTTCCACCCAAGTGCTGGAATTAAAGGTGTGAACTATCACACCCAGATGAGGCATTTTCTTAATTGCTAGATAATATAGGAGAGCCCAGCCAACTGCTACATGAGCAAGCCAGTAAGTACCTTCCTACATGGTTCCTGCCCTGATTTCTTTCAATAATGGATTGTTACCTGGAAGTGTAAGCCAAATAAAACCTTTCCTCCTGATGTTGTTTTTGGTCATGGCTGTTTATCACAGCAACAAAAAGCAAACTAGGTAAGAAATGGGTACCAGAAGAGCAGGAGATTATTGATATAACAAACTTAATCATGTTGTCTAGGCAAAGCCATTAAATGCTCAGAGCTTAATGAGCTGTTCTGTGGAAATTTTGAACAGTGCTTCAAGAAATGCAAATGTTGGAAGCCTGGCTTTTGAAATTTTGAGTGAAACAAAGGATATAAGGAACAAATATCTATAAAGGATAGTCATGTTACATTACGTATGGATCCACGGAAGTCAAATCTGTACTTCACTGGGACAATGTAATGCTGATCACCAAGGCCTAATGAAAACCAGCTGAGACCAGCATCAAGGTAAAATCTTCTGCGAAGCATTTCTTCAGGGTCAGCCTACAGAAGCTGCCCCAGAGGGAGCTAAGGCTGCATCTCAAGCTGGCAGCCAAACTTAGTAATGTGTATGATGGTACTGGATTTGGTGGCATGAAAGCAGCAGAATTGAAGAAGTCATGAGAAGAAACTCAGGCTTTGCACCATGTGATAGAGTTAGACTATTGTGGAAGTGTATCCTCAGTTGTTGTAGAGACCCCTAGATATTGAAGATGCCAGGTGAGATGACCACCAAGGATATGGTAGATGTGAAGTAGAGTCATCTTGAGCCAACCAGATAAACTATGTGTGCCACATATGGCAAAACTGGAGAAGTGCAATTGCCCAAGTTTTTTGAAGCCCAGAGGATCATGTGTGATTCCATATGCTGGATATTGAGCGACAGAACATGGTATACATTACTGGGTTTTTGTTTTACTTTAATCTCATTGTAACTATGCCCTGGCTCTTCCTTTGTAATAGGGTAAAGGTTTCTCCATCTTGTCTCAGCTGAAGCCATCTTTGGTTTCTACTCCCTGCCCTGAAAAGTCCCATGGGCAAACACCCAACCCTGTTCTAGAAACTCAGGGTTGAAATGCCCCAGCTAACTGCATATTCTTGGCTCTTGTTAAATTGTTTGCTTGTCTGCTTGCTTGCTTGCTTCCCTCTGCAACTGCCAACCAGGATGTAGTTTTTTCTGTACTCTTCATCTTTAAAAACTCCCTGTAATGTGCATTTGGGGTTGCTCTGTTGATTTTCTCCAGGCAATCACTGGCCAGTTTAACACAGACTCTCAATTCAAACTCTGCTCTCTAGGTTATCCCATAACACTTTGGGGATTAAAAACAAATACATAACTTGTTTTCCATTTTACAAAGCTCAGAGACATTGAACTTTTTTTTTTTATTGTTTTATTTATTTATTATATGTAAGTACACTGTAGCTGTCTTCAGATACCCATATGAGGGCATCAGATCTCATTGCAGATGGTTGTGAGCCACCATGTGGTTGCTGGGATTTGAACTCATGACCTCTAGGAGAGCAGTCAGTGCTCTTAACCACTGAGCCATCTCACCAGCCCGACATTGAACTTTTAAAGTGTTAGCAAATTTAAAGATTGTGGGACTTTAAAGTTGTATTTTAATGTGTAAAGTATTTAAATATGATATGCAAATGGAACACAGGGAATACCAGGAGTTAAAAATTTAACTGGGAATGTGGGTGAGGAATTGGGAGGGGTGGGTTAAACAAAACTAAAGATATATGAAAAAAACACTACTTTGAAGCTAATTAAAGACCATAATTTGTTTTTAAAGGAGTTTGAACATAGGTACTCTGCAGGGATAGATGTGGTGGTTTAAATAAAAATGGCCCCCACAGGTCCACAAAGAGTGGCACTATTAGGAGGTGTGGCCTTGTTGGAAGAAATATATCACTGTCTCTTCCTGCTGCCTGTGGATCTAGCCAGATATAGACCTCTCCAGTACCATGTTAGTCTGCATGCCATCATGCTTCTAGCCATCATGATAACAAACTAAACCTGAAACTGTAAGCCAGCCCCAATTAAATGTTAAATGTTTTCCTTTATGAGAGTTGTGGTCACAGTGTATCTTCACAGCAATAGAAACCCTAACTAAGAGACATGGGTTATTAACTGAAAATCTCAGTACCAGATGTGGTAGGAGAATTTTAGTACAGTCATTATATCTGGTATGAATTCTGGAGTGATGGCACCTAGGCTTTGAAGTAGCCTTTTGTAAATAGTGATTGTTATCTGAGGCTTAAGGAGGATTCACAAAGTTTTATATAACGTAGTCTTAGGACATACCTGGCAAACCAGGAAGTCTCCTATGGATGAAGGTTCCTTCAGACAACTAGATCAGATAAGAGGTTTGGGTATTTGGAAACTGACTTGTTAAAGGTATCTTTTCTGTAACAATAAAGAGGCTCTGCAAATGGATTTCAGAGTTCAGTCCTTTTGAGGCTGATCCCCTGCTGCTGAGAAGCCTAAATTTAGCCTGCAATGTCTCTTTCTAGGATAGATAGTTCCAGAACACAGGATACCTCCCAATGAATTACTGGTCAAGGAAGCCCCAAAGGCTCCCTTTAAAACAACACAAACTGTTGCCATTGTTCTTGGTTGCCCTCCATAGCAAGATGGTAAGACCCTATTGCTGAAGATATAGCACACTTTGGTTGCTGGACATAGAAAATTCCAGAAAAATTGGAATTGATCTGAAACTTTTTTGCTGCTGGCTGGCTTTTGTAGGGCTGAAAGGTGTCATGCAGGCTACTTAGGAAGAAATGTCATTAATGACATTATATAGAACAGTATCGTCAATGCTACAATACAGGTCTTCCAAGGAAAATGCACCCATGGTGCAATAGAGGCATAAAATGTAGGGGGTTAATCAAATGCTTGAGGCCTGCTCCACTGGAATAAATCCATGCATGTGTCTATAAACATACACAAAAGCCTATGGCTTGGGAGATCACAGGCTGTAGGGAGAAACCTACTTCTATTGCTTTGCTAAATGGAAAAAATCAAATTGCTTTCTAGTTACCTTCACAAGACAAAGCTAACAACATCAGCCAATATTCCAACAGGTTGCACTAATTGGACTCAGTAGGTACCAAAAAGGAAAAGATCATGAAGACAAGAAAGAGATCTGTTGGGAAGAACTAGGGTTGGGGTGGATCAGAAGTAGATATGATCAAAATACATTGTATACACATGTGAAGTTGTCAAATAATAAATGAAACATATTCTAAAAACACTTCAGCTTTTTAAAGATTAGAGAGATAGCTCAGCAGTTAAGAATACATTACTAATCTTTCAGAGGACTCTAGTTCAGTTCCCAGCACCCACATTGGGAGATTCACAAACACAAACCCCATCCCCTGGGGAGATCCAATGGCTCTGTCCATCTCAGGCCATGCATTCATGTACACACATACCCATACACATAACTTAAAAATAATAAAAATAAATCATTAAAAACTATTTTTTAAAAAATCACCTCATCGTAGTTGGTATCATTCAGATCTTCATCATCATCATCAGCGGCCTGATTTTTCTTCATCTGGTCCCCCACAGTTCTCTTCCCTGGTGGGGCATGGCGATCGTCCACAGGATCGTTTGCATCCCGAGCAGGCCCAATGTCTGATCGGGTAGTGAAGCCAGTGGCACTAGAGGAAGCCCAGAGACATCAGTATTTAAGTGACCCTGACGCTATGCTCTCTTTCAATCATCATTCAGTATCATCACTTCTCACACTTCGGGACCCTCCAGAGATTCTAGTACCAATGAATTGAATGCTTACACATTCCTGGTCTTCTTTGTTTGCTAAACTTTTAACCTATAGTGAGTAGATCAGAGACAGTTTCTCTTCATCCCAAGGTGTCTCCATTTCTCCTCCACATCACCATACAGACCTTCAGAAGTCTGAGTCTCTCTAGTTCTCACCTCACATTTCCAACTATCTGTTGAAGATGAACTTTCCACTTTCACCCAGGCCCAAACTGAGTTTCCTCCTTTATGCACTCAGCAGCTGTTCAATGATCAGCCATTAAAAGACACTCCATATCAAGCACTATCGTATTGTCTGACTCCCATCTGAGTTCTCTCCACCCCGTCTGCCCCAACTACTACTGACAAATCACGCTGGCATGGCTAGAAATCCATTCCTACCTTCAACCTACTCCTACTTCAACTCTCAATCTGCCAGGTGACTCTTTTCAAAATGTAGCTCAGAAAACTATGGGAACTGCTGCAGGATATTTAATCAAACTGAGAACCCCAAAACTGTGTTATTTACACTTTTAGTTGTGGTATGGCTCAGCCTCAGCACACACCTTTACTCCAAGAGCTTTCTGCTTGAATCTTGTTAATAGGATTAAATAAAATCATTCACAGGTCAAGAGAGATAAAGATTACACTTGAACAAGAGAGGCCTCCTGAATAAGAAAAGGCAATAGTTCATCAGATAGCTTGGTCATTCAGTCCAAACTAACTTACAGAGACTAACAAATGCCTTTCATTTGATCAGGCATGAAAAAATTAAAATAAAAAAAATTTTCAAATGATAATCTACCCAAGGCACACCTGTCTTACTGGCATGAAATGAAAAATGGGTTTTCTTAAACCATGTGCCTTAATTTCATGTTAGAACATTAGACTGTATATTGTCACATGGCCCACACCATCTTGGACATCAGCTTTTGAATTTTCTTCTTAAATAAGAATATTTTTGTTGTTTGGTATTAAAAACACAGTTAAGAGATATAAAGCATTTTAAGTAAATTCAGACTGTGACTATAGTTCAAACTTGTTTTCTAAATTTCTAAGAGCTGAAGTGATTTGGAGCTAGGATAAAATATTTGAGCAGCGCAGTATCCCATGCCTTAAATCCCAGCAGATCTCTATAAAGTAACTGTTTCCAAAATTCAAGAGTTAGGGTGAACAAGATAGTGGTAGAACATGCCTTTAATCCCATCACCCAGGGATAGAACTAGAGATACAGCTCCTAACTGGTATGTTTGAACACAAGAGAAATCACATACTATATTTTCAGATTATCATTATAAAAACCCTCTATACGGTTACTAGAAAGGCAGCTGCTACCAGGCAGTGGTGGTACATGCCTTTAATCCCAGCACTTGGGATGCAAAGGCAGGTGGATTTCTGAGTTCAAGGCCAGCCTGGTCTACAGAGTGAGTTCCAGGACAGCCAGGGCTACACAGAGAAACCCTGTCTAGAAAAACCAAAAAAAAAAAAAAAAAAAATAGAAAGAAAGAAAGGCAGCTGCTTCCAATGGAGACAAGAACAAAGAGCAGCTTTTGTGACTGCCAGTAAGCTCATTTCCATGTATGCAACCCTGACCAATACTGAACTAGATAATACCCTAACTATGGAGATCATATTTATTGGTGAATTGTTAACTGAGACTCTTCATAAAGCAAAAAGGAGCCACCAACATTTGCCTGCCAGCTTTCATTGCTAACGCTCTCCATACACAGAGAATAAATATTCTCTTTGAGAAACAAATCTAAGCCAGGCAGTGGTGGCACATGCCTTTAATCCCAGCACTTGGGAGGCAAAGGCAGGTGGATTTCTAAGTTCAAGGCCAGCCTGGTCTACAGAGTGAGTTCCAGGACAGCCAGGACTAAACAGAGAAACCCTGTCTCGAAAAAACCGAAGGGAAAAAAAAAAGAGAGAGAGAGAAAGAAACAAATCTAAAAATTTTTTTTTTAAAAAAACCCAACTCATTCTTCAAAAAAGAAAGAAAGAAAGCAAGCTTTATGTTGGACCCATCAAATCAAAAGTCAATATGAACTGTTATGTCTAAAATATCTTGAGTCAGAGCTAACCCCTAGGCAGCACTGGGCATCTGGGTATGAAATCATTGTAGGATTTGTGGGTTTTTTTCCTTTATACACTGACAGAAAAAGATATCCGTTGTCATAGTGCAGACTGGTCATGGGAGGAAGGGATGAATGGAAAGGACAAAACATAGCAAAGATATCAAATTTTATGTAGCTCACACAGACAAGACTGATAAAATGTCTGAAATAATCAAATATAGTGGACAAAATGACATAATGCCTAGTTAAAACTAGAATATTAAAATTTGCAAGGGAACAACAAATTCAGAAAAAAAAAATCAGCAAGACTGACAAATTATACATTTGAAAAACTTGAAAATTTATCCCTAATATTAAAAAGGAATGAGGAATGGAGAACCAAATTAAACTAGGATAACCCTATTGGAATAACTATTATAAGGAATCCATAGCCAGGCAATGGTTCATACCTTTAATCCCAGCACTTGGCTGGCAGAGGCAGCCACATAAGAATTACAATGATTTAAATGTAAAAGCTACTTGCAAAAGACAGGCTAAAATTCAAAGTGATTGTCTTTTGTGATCTAAAAATAAATATGCTTAAACCTTACACACACACACATATACACACACAAAATATCTATTATCTTTAATTTCAATTTTTCAAATAATTTCTTTAACTTCAGTTAAAAACTCATACTTTTTCTGTTGCCAAAATACATTTGCCCTAAGAAAGACATAACCAGCCAAAAAAGGAACCCCCAGAGTTAGGGTTGGTGCAGGATTTATATCTTTTCAGGAGAATAAAAGCATCCAACTAAAGAAACCGGGGATGACCAGACAAGTGAAACACCTGAAGTAAAAGGATGGATCATCAAGAGAAAATGTTCCAAGAAAAACAGTAATAAATTGGCCAAGTGATATTGCCTACCTCTAACTGACCAGCCTAAAATCCTGGCTGGGAGCCTCAGACTAACGCTGACATCCATGCCACTATCTTGACCCAGCCACTGGCCCTTCCTGCCAGATAACAATCACCCAATGCTGATCAGGGACTGGACAGCTGGGGCAGGCTCTCCCTTCTTTTCTTCCTGCCATGCATGCAGCTGACCAACCCATGGCTGCCGCCCTCTAAAGACAAGTAGCTGTAGAGAGAATCACTTATAAACATCACCTGTCAATAAAAAAGCTATGGACAATAAGCTGAGGCAGAAAACAGGAGATGGCACAACCAGCACAGAGAGAATTCTGGGAAATAATGAGAGGTGCAGGAGGTTCACCCCAGAAAGCTGAGGAGACAGACATAAACCAGCACATAGCTGAACTCAAGTAAGAATAAACATAACAAATTAAGAGCTAGTTGGAGAACAAGCTGAAGCTTATTTATTAATAAATAATTAGTCTCACAGATGTTATTTCTGAGAATTAAGTGGTCAGGAAGAAAAACTCGTTTTACAGATGGTGCTCAACATGGAAGGCATGTAATCCAAACCTTTTAATTTCATATTCTGCTATTAGACAGAGTCGTTGTTACAGGGAACCTTATGAGAATGGTGGAAAACCTAAGGTTTCAGATGGTGTCCACCACAGGGCACAGAACTCAAGCTTAGTAAAGTCCTGGGTGAGAGGCAATGCACTGAACATAAGACAAGAACTTATATGGATCCAAGCTTAAAAATTTATTTATTTCATTTATATGAGTACACTGTGGCTGTCTTCAGACACACCAGAAGAGAACATTGGATCCCATTACAGGTGGTTGTGAGCCACCATGTGGTTTCTGGGAATTGAACTCAGGACCTCTGGAAGAGCAGCCAGTGCTCTTAACCACTGAGCCATCTCTCCAGCCCATGGATCCAAACTTAAAAAGAGCAAAGGCGCTTCCAGGTTTCAGAGCAGTTCCAAGTTCTGGTCTTTTAAATGGTTGCTTAGCAACTGCAGTTTCTCAGGAGCCCAGATGCAGCTGCTGCAAAGGTTTGGTGAAGCAGGGGTTGGAGAGATGGATCAGTGGTTAAAAGCGGTGACTCTCTGAAGAAGCCCCTGCCAAGTAGAAAAGCCAGATCTTTTTCCCCACAAACACTTCCCAAAGCAGTTTCCTAGTCAGGCTGGAGGCTAAGAGAGATGGAGGGAGGCCCAAGCTGAAGGAGCTAGTCCCGGCCAGACATGGCCTGGAACAACTTCCCAAGGCAGGATCCAAGAGACAAAATTCTTGATTACACGTGAAAGGCAAAAACACTTCTCCCACATCTCTCCTGGTGAACAAAGAGACAGAGGCAGTGCGAATGACAGTAGGTTAAGCAGAAGCAAAACACAGACTAAGAGAAACAAGAGGAAACCCAAAACAATATAACTTCTGACCAAGAAGTTATAAAAAAAATGGTCAAAGTTATGTTTTAAGGATTAAAAAAGGAAGACTAGATTTGAAAAAAATTGTAGACAAGTAAAATAAATTTAAAATTAATAAAATTAATTTTTTTATTGCTAATCCACGTTTTTTATAGCTTCTTAGAGACAGCCTTAGAGATACAAGAAAAGATGAAAAGTGGATACAGGGTTAGAAGAAAAATTAGAAAAATGTATAAACAAAATTGAGAAAGATACTAAGATAGAAAAAGAAGAACTAACGGTCAAGCACCACCATATAATAAAAATCAGAACAGTCAGGCAAAGGTTATTAGAAAACAAACCTCAGTTTATCCTATTAGTGTACAACAAATGCCAGGAAGAATTTAGATAGCATCCCATTGAAAAGATTTTAAAAATTATAAGGATGCAACTATAGTAGGAAAAATAATCTCCAAAGGTTTGAAGAAAAGACAAACTGTCAAATATTTTAATTGTGGCAA